AAAAACGGTATGCTGCAATTAGTATGTTAACACTTTAAAATAACCTTATTTTAATTATTATTTTATGAATTAAAGTGGGTTCGTCAACATGGTTCGTTATGGGTCCTATCGTCAACTTTAATTTCGCCCATTACGGACCGGTCCAACTTTAAAGAGGGTTGATGAACAGAAACGAGAGATGGGGAAAGAAACTTCTACCCGAACTACCCATGAAAAGTCATTAGGATTGATCGGACCAGTTAAGACCACCCTCTGGGTATATTGCCCAGAGGGTGGTCTAAACCCTGAGTAACTTAGTGGAGATCTCATTTCTATCATTTATGGTTCCGGTTGAAGTTTTATGTTAGTCAATGAATGACTAAAAATATTATGGGTATAGTTGACATAGGTTTAGCTCCTGAATTAAATATCCTACATCAGAAAGTATTGATTATCAATTTTATAATTTTTAATTATAAAATAATAAGAAATGTATTTTATTACAGGACAAAACCATAAAACGATTAAACTATGGAGGAAATTATCATTAGTTACCCTAAATTACTCATAGTTGACATAAGGTAAAAGTCCGGAAATGACATAATTAAGCTTCTCTCGATTAACCAGGGTGTAAAATACGAGATTGATGATGATACTTCCCGAATATTTAAATTATAAACCAAATAAAATAATAAAAAAATTGTATGAAATTTAGTACTAAATTAGAGCATTTTAGAAATAATTTTATTACTCATTAAATTCAAATAATAAATTTGTGAAATTAAAATGTATTTTCGTGAAATTCATCAATAACAATTCTTGTGGAAATAAAAGAACTCAAGAATCGAAGAATTTGTGCATTTTTTTCAATGAATGTACTGGATATAGCAACAGCTGGTATCCAGTCTTATCATGGACTTTGTTTGGTATAGAAATATCTTTGATAGATAATACAAAACTCATCGTTATTATCATCTTTATCATTTTCGCTATCACTTTCATCCTTTCCTCTTTCATATTTTGCGACGTACGATAGGAAACATTCTTACAAATATTAATCTCATGTGAAAAGATTATTAGGAAACATCTTAAACAAATAAAAACGTTAAACAATAATCTTTTTTTATGAAAGAATTCTTTTAAAGTTTCATCAGAAGTGCAATCTCCGTTCTGCCATATTGTACGATATACAAAGAAAGAATAAACATTCGACGTCATCAGTTTGAATGAAGTTTAAGCCGAACACGTGGGAATCACATGTTCCCATCTGCCACGAAATGTATCGATTTTGGAAGTGTTTATAAAGATTACAAGATCTTTGTTTGAAAAATATAAAGCAATGCGTTATATAAGTGAGCTAATGGGACTATTTGTACTTTAATGGTTATTTATTTTTTAAATGCCATAGAAAATATACTATGAATAGACTTCTGCTCCATTTTATAGTATGGATCAATGAAGCAACGTTTCTGTATCTGTAACTAGTACTGTACTTTATGTAAATTCTGCCTTAAGATAATTTACATGCATTATACATTAACGTTTTCTAAGCTTCTTCGTAACTATTTAACTTTAGAAATTTTAAGGATTAAAACTTTTATAGTCAAAGCCTACTGTACTCCTATACTCTGTATAATTTACTGTTATTTAGTGTTGCAAACAGAATGAAACAGTCTGTCAATATTAGTTTAAATTAGTGGGCGCGACACAAATACCGAAATATCCGTATATCTACAAAAACTTGATAAAATATAAAAATTTGATCGGCGTATCAAGCTAGATATCATGTTTGATTGTGATATTCAAACATGAAACAATATAATTCATAAAGACCTTGATGTATAGCATCCTGCTGAGAGCCCAATAGGATACTTTATTATGAAGAAAACTCCTTAGATGTGGATTTTATCTCTTTGAAGTGGCAGCTTAACTGCTATTTTGATATATGTAAATAAAATTTTGGGAATTATTAAGGCCGTATTTATACTTAAACAAAGCTATAGCTTAGCCTTAGGGCCTTACGATACGAGACAACAGTAGAATTTCGCGCTTTTAAATTCATTATTATTTAGTGGAGAAGAAAAGGTCTTTTATACGTTCAGCTTAAATCTTGCAACGTCTATTTAGAAGCTTGTTGCGACATCTTAGAGCTTGGGGTGTCTTGAACTTCGTTAAAGCCCAGTGGATTCATATTAGAGCCTTAAATGAATCTATTTTAGATACTGTAGTAGGACTAGAAGTGTAAAATTTAAATTTTAATCGTTATATCGTTAGTATTAAATACCTGATTCGAGTGATAATGATGCAACATAATATCAGTATCAGTTTAAATATTTAACTGCTTAGTATCTATGTAATTTAAGTATAGGTTTTCGTTTTCAACAATACAAAACTATGATAATTGAATGAGAACATTCGATATTACTAAAACTGAATTGAATTTTACTCTTAATTATCAATTAATTTTGCCCATAGATTGAAGAAAAAATGGGATATTTTCTGATTTTTAATCTAGTTAGTCGTGAAATAATTTATTCAATTTAACCAATTAATTTATAAATTACTCGAATAAATATTTCGTAGTTTCTAATGATGATAACGATACTTACCATACTGAAATATCATTATGGTAAGTATATAATGAGCTTTTAAAGTCTTGATGGTGAGTTTCCCCACGTAATTAAGGTAAGTGATTATAAAATGTTTTTCCCCAATTACTTATCACAATTCAGCCTTAATTAATTTGAAAATGCATAAATGAAAATGGTGAGTAAATAATATAAAGAAATTTGCAATTTTTTCCATAACATTCTTTCCATTTTTATTATTTACTTTCATTCTGTAGATAAAAAGGAACTTATATAACACCACTTTCAATCGTGCATTCATTAAAATTTGATAAAATTTTAGATAAAATGTTTCTAAATCACGAAAATATCCTCATCTAACTCAATTATCTTATGGGAAACTTCACATATGTACAAAACAATTTAATTTCTTTATTACTTGAAAATTTTAAATTTATTTCCAAAATTTTGAGTAAATATGTTTGTTTCTTATAATATTTTGTAAGTTCAATTGCTTTTTGTGCTATATTCTCGTTGTTTATTGAACAATACCGCTCAACATCTGCCTTCATTGAAAATTTTGAGCAATATTAACATAATAATTTTTTTGCTGAATATTCATGCTGCTCGTTATCAGTACTGAGAACATATTTTAAGCATATTGATCAATTTTTACTGTTTTTATGTGTATAGAGAACAAAATTAAACAATACTGATGCTCATTCGCAATTTTGCTGCTCAATATCTCTGCTGAAAGCAAATATTAAGCATGTTGAGCAGTTTATTACTCTATATGTTGAGCATTTAATTGTTCAATAATATCCTATATGTATGTGTATTTATTATGTATAGAATGTATTGTAATTTAGCTAGGGGCTCAATACCTGACTGGCAATACACATTGGTAAATTTTTATTGTTCGAGAACAAAATTTGAGCGTATTGACACACAATATATTCAATTTAGATGCTTAATATATGCAGAACAAATACTCAGCATAAGAAGGTCACGTGGTGAATACATTGAGCAGCAGTCTTGAAAGACTACAAAACGAATTACCATCACTAATTTTTTTTTAAAATATATATATTAACAAACTGCAAAAACTACTTTATTTTCAAAATTTTAACATTTTTATGTCATTTTTAATACAGCAACAGTTTTTTCTCCTTTTTTTAAATTCAAAATAAGTTAAGACTGGCAATGCCATCTATCGTATTATATTTTTATAAATTCTAAACATGGAAAAAGAATTTAAACTATTTTAATTCTTAAATTTGATTTTATTTTCAAATTATTGTTTTAAAAATCTTCTTAATTTCTTTTTCGTTTCTAATGTTTAAATACTATAAAATTAACAAACATTTTGATACCATTCAACTCAATTTATGTCTATTATTTTCAGATGCTTGTAGTTGCATTCAAAATAATTTTTTAAAATGATAATTTATTGATTTCACACAGAAAAATTAAATTTTCTCATCATAATTCATGTCATTCAAATGTTTATTTTATTTGTGACATGAAAAATTGAAATAACTTTTTTTATTATTAAATAATAATAATAAAAGTTATTTCAATTTTTTAGCTTCAGGTTAATAATTTCTGTCTCAGATTACATCAAGATTTATCTTAAAAATTCAAATTTAAAATATAAATCCAAAAAAATATAAAATTCACATTTCAAAATTTAAATTTAAATTTCTTATTTTCAATTCTGAAAATTTTGAATTTAAACATTTTTTTTCTTAATTTCTTATCTTAAATTAAAAAATTGAAATAATATCTCACATTTGATTAACATTCAATTCTTAGTTACAGATCAGCACTAACATTATAATTTATTTTAACTAAAATAAATTATTATAAAGACATGTTTTTTTATAACTTTTATAAACATTTTTCATAATAACTTTCTTAACAATATTTATATATATATCATTTTAAATTCTTTAAGTTTTTATTATAAAATTATGCAAGAAATCCTATCAAATCTGGGAAAATGTGGAGCATAAATGACTTTTTCCAACCCATATATTGTAAAAAATCCACTCTCTCTTCTCCATATATAATTAACTGTTGTTATTGGAATAGTTTTTACTTGATGTCTCTATCAATAAATCAATAAATTTAAAATTTTTTAAAAACATAAACTAAATATAATTAATTTAATTACCTGCATAAGGCACTTTTCATTAGCAAAAATATTTTTATGAGTATTTATTAATTTTTCTGATGATCTGTTAACTGCTTCATTATGAAA